GAGCAGGGACCCCGATGCGGGACTCGATCCCGGGACTCCGGGATCATGACCTGAGCCGAAAGCAGTCGCTTAACCGACTGAGCCACCCAGGCGCCCGTTGTAAAGGGTTTATAAAGAAAGTTTTAATGTACATACTTTTTCTTTTTAAAAATTAATTTAAAAAATGTTTTTAAAGATTTATTTGTTTGAGAGAGAGAGAGAAAGCTTGAGCACAAGCAGGGGGAGCTGCAAGCAGAGGGAGAGGGAGAAGCAGAGTCCTGCTGTGCAGAGAGCCCAATGCAGGGCTGGGTCCCAGGCCCCTGAGATTGTGACCTGAGCTGAAAGCAGACGCTTAACCAACTGAGCCACCCTGGCGCCCCTAGAAATTAATTTTTCATAACCTACATTGGTCATGAAAAAGTAAAGCAATACACAAATAGTTTCCTAGGCTTCGGTTTAACCACCTGGTCCCCAATCCTATTCATCAGCATGAACTAGAGTTTGGTATGTGTCTTTCCAGAATTCTCTATGCACATATATTTATATACATATGTATGTGTAGTATCTCTGTAATGTTAAGCCAAACAAATGGGATTATACCCTCCCCAGGCTCTGCAATTTGCCTTTTTCACTTAATTTACTGCAAATGTCCTTCTAGGTCAGAATATATAGATTTATGACAACCGGGGAAGGTCCCAATGAACTCTGGGGTTTCATTATAAATAAACCGATTGTTCTAGGTAATTTCTCTAAAGAATTTTAAAGACAAAAGAACTATTGATATCCATTGTAATACCTAAAAGACTGTTTCTTTATACTATAAGACTGCCCATACTGAAAATACATCCACAGAGAAGAGGTCCAGCACGATAGAAAAAGATACCAAACCAAGACTCAGACAGACCTAGGTTTGAGCCCTGGCTTGGCCATGGTGTGTCTTGGCCTGAGTTCTTAAGCTCTGTAAGCCTTGCTTTTGTCATTTTAAAAATGACATTTTAGGGGCGCCTGGGTGGCTCAGTCGTTAAGCGTCTGCCTTCGGCTCAGGTCATGATCCCAGAGTCCTGGGATCGAGCCCCACATCGGGCTCCCTGCTCAGCGGGGAGCCTGCTTCTCCCTCTCCCGCTCCCCCTGCTTGTGTTCCCTCTCTCGCTGTGTCTCTCTCTGTTAAACAAATAAATAAAATCTTTAAAAAAAAATGACATTTTAATAATACTTATATCACAGGATTTTCTTTCTTAAGGAAGTATCAGTAATCACTCAGGAAATGGTCATTACATTTCATTTAGTGAAAGCAAGGACTTTTTAAATGAAGTTTTAAATTTTAATTCCAGTATAGTTAACGTACAGTGTAATATTAGTTTCAGGTGTAGAATAGAGTGATTCAACACTTCCATACATCACCCAGGGCTCATCACAAGTGCCCTCCTTAAACCCCTTCACCTGTTTCCCCATCTCCCCCGCCCCCCGCCCCGGCCACTTCCCCTCTAATAACTATCAGTTTGTTCTCTATAGTTAAGAGTGTTTCTTGGCTTGTTGCTCTCTCTTTTTTTCCCCTTTGTTCATTTGTTTTGTTTCTTAAGCTCTACATATGAGTGAAATCATATGATATTTGTCTTTCTCGGACTTGACTTATTTCACTTAGTAGAATACTCTCTAGCTCCATCCGTGTTGTTGCAAATGGCAAGATTTCATTCTTTTTGATGGCTGAGTAATATTCCATTGTGTGTGTATATATATATCACATCTTCTTTATCCATGCATCAGTGAATGGACACTTGGGCCATTTCCATAGTTTGGCTATTGTAAATAATGCTGCTAAAAACATAGGGGCACATGTATCCTTCTGAATTAGTGTTTTATTTTATTTTTTGAGTAAATACCCAGTAGTACGATTACTGGATCATAGGACGGTTCTATTTTTAACTTTTTGAAGAACCTCCATACTATTGTCCACATTGGCTGCACCAGCCTGCATTCCCACCAACAGTGCATGAGGGTTCCTTTTTCTCCACATCCTCGCCAACACCTCTTGTTTCTTGAGTTGTTGATTTTAGCCATTCTGACAGGTGTCAGGTGATATTTCATTGTAGTTTTGATTCTCATTTCTCTGATGATGGGTGATGTTGAGTCTCTTTCCCTGTGTCTCTTGGCCATCTGGATGTCTTCTTTGGAGAGATGTCTGCTCATGTCTTCAAGCGGTGGCTTTTTTCAACACAGAATCATCACCAAGTTACAGTGTTTGTCTTGAAGGACAGGAATGGGAACCCGAATCACAGGGGCCAGCAGGAGTCCTGGGCTTTAAACCTGGGTCGACCACTAATACCCATGGTGTCACCTAGACAAAGCACCTCTTCTCTTTGGACTCTGTTTTCTTTCATGGAAAAATAGTGAGGAGGCCGAGGACCACTAGGGTTCCTTCCAGCTTTAAGAACCATGATTCTCGGAAAGCCTTTTAGAGGGAAACATTTGTTGAAGTTCTGGCTCAGTTACAGCCATCAGACAGTTTTATGTGGTGAGAAGTTTTTCACTACATGAAAACCGTGGGATGTTGGTCAAAGCAAGCTCCCCTCCCCCATCACTGTATTATTTTTATGACAATTGGCTCTCAGGCTCTCTGCTGGCAAAAGCTATTTGCTGCAAAGAGGGATGTTCTTGCTGTAGTGGTTCAGCTAAAGATACTGTGAAATTAGTATGAAAACAGTTTTTTGGGAAGTTCACTCATGGAGGGCTAAAAGAACATGAAATGGTAATCTCAGATTCAATGAAGAAAGACTCTGTGAGGGTTTCCACAGGAGTCTGCATCTTGACTAAAGTAGTTGAGTAGTTCTGAGAGACGTGGGATTTCGGGTCTGGGTGGACTCTTCCTGTGACTTTATCCCAGATGACACCTACAAAATCAAGTACTTCCTCCTGCTTCCAGAAGTGATTCCTCTCTGTGCAGCCCTATTCCTTTCCTTGAAAGACCTGAGGGAAAATATCTGTATTCTTTCCCACTGGATTTTCTGAAGTCAAGATTTACCAACTGTCGGCACTTGAAAATAACAATGATAACATTACACTCAGAGAGGTGCTACTCATAGAAACTCAAAAAAAAAAAAATCTACTCTAAAACCTATAGAAGTTGCTAGTTCAATGATTGTCTTTAAGAATACCAGCAGAGGACTGCTATGCCCAAAGATGCTGTGATAAGGTTTGCATCTTATTTCCAGCCATCCTTGCTCGTATATATTCCTTTTGCTGCCACTGTGGATTCCTCAGAGCTTCCCTAATTAACTGTTGACCCACAGATGAACTACGTTGGCTAAGTTCCCTCACTAGAGTCTTGTGCACAGAACGGGTCCAAGCTTCCTGCCATTCCTGCTCCATCCCTTGAGGCCATCCAGCAAGGCCATGGTGTTAGCTGACATTAGTCTCACCCAGTCCATGTCCTCCTCCTTAAAAAACTCCTCATGAGGTTTAACAATGTTAGAGACTCTGATGCAAGGTGAACCAACTCCCCCACTCTAATGAAGGTTACCACACACAGAAGTTGCCGAGAGGAGGGAATAAACTTTGGCCAGAGACAGAAGGAGTCAATAGAGAAATCGGAGTCTTGTGTTTGGAGACCCTGGGCGGGTTTAGAGACGGGGAAAAAGGAGTTTAGGAGAAAAGACACTTCAAGTAGACAATACCAACGTGGATAAATGAGAGCCAAGTACAACTCTTGTAGGGATCTATACCCATCCAGACACATAGTTTCATGTGTATATAAAGTATATACACATTTGTAATACAGCCACTTAAGTCTCTTTAGAATGTTTTAAAGTATACTGAAAGATTCACTTAGTCTGATATTTAGCTTAATATTATATTCCTTACATATCATTATAATTCCTTCTGAGTGAGGGTATATTCTATTAGTATGAATCTGCTTGAAAGCATGTTATCTGAGGTGGGCGGGGCACTATGGAATTGCTGTAGTATTTGCTAACAAGCAAATGATAAAAATTAAGAAAAAAAAGATGAATGGGAGCCATGGGGGATAGATATTGCCATGGAACTCCAGGGAGAGACTGGTCCATGGGGTGGGGGGGCTGTCCCCTGATTCAGCAGATGAGCAGAGGACCCTCACTTTACAGAATCTTCTCTTATATTTCCCTCTACATGAGAACCAAATTGCAGAAGAGGACAGATCTAACATTCCCTTGTATTTATACTCTTGGTCTACATAAGAAGTCTTGTTTTTAAAGTAGTCTCCATTAATTATTCCATTCCTCCCAGATACTTGACTTAAAAGATTTTTTTGATATCAATGAAGAAATTGTGTTACACGTCTAGTTGGCTTCATCACATTGTAGGAACTGCTGACATTTACATCCCTTTTGGCTTTTTTTTTTTTTATCCAATTTTATCATCTGTTCTTTTTTTCCTCAAAACACATTATTAAATATTGGATAGTTAAAAGTATGATCCAATTAACTATCCAATTAAGTATGATAGTATAAATAAAAGTATGATCCAATTAACTATTATTAAATATTGGATAATTAAAAGAATGAACTGTCTAATAATATTTCTGTTCTTAGTATGGTTCCCCTTTCAGTATTCACTCATCTTTGTACATTGGCCTCCTAACTTTTCCTAGAATATGAAGACACCTGGTGTCTGATATACATATGTTCTCACTACACCTGAATCGAGAGACTTTACCTGTGACACTGTACAATTCTATCTCTCCTTCATTTCCATATGTTCCTGGGTATATCCTTAGTCCTCTACCTGAAAGTGTGTTATAGCATTATAATATTAATTATATA